TATGTTCGGCTGTGCCGACGCATTTCTTAAATCCTATGTACCAAGAGGGAGTTCAAAGGCGTTTGCCTATATTTCCTTTAATAAATTTGACTTGAATTGACTTGATTGATGACGGTTAATGAACCAGAAATGATATTTGTTGGTAATGCAATCTGCCCAGCCACTGTGTGGCTGTTGGCAGAGTTGGATAAGTCATTTCTGTTAACGATCGGTGAACGTTATCAGCGAGAAACACGAATCACTTATCAAAAGAAGCAAATATGCGTGCCTCAGGTTCTTTTTGTAAAGAAGAAGAAGGAGACAACATCTCTGGAAAGACAATTTTATTGTTCGGAGGTTTCGGCTTCACACGAGAAGCCTATAAAAATAGGATAAAATTGCCGTTCCAGAGATCGCGTCTTCTTATTCTTAGTTGATATTTTTAATTTAAGATAACATCTTAGAAACAATAAGTTTCTTAAAAGTACTGCCCGCTGGATGAGATGCGCTTGCTGCAACCGCTTTTCTATTGTTCAAAACATTTTTTTTAAATATCCTTCTAAATCACTGCCTCCAGCGATTTTTCTTAACCGCCTTAACTTTCTGAAAACGATTCCCCTTCGAAGTTAGCGAAAGATTGATAATCACTCGCAAACCGAAATTTACTCATGAGCGAAAACTTGAAAATAATGATGAACAACCTTACGCACGTCTGATACTTAAAAGAAGTATAAGAAGGACCTTGTGTTTTTTTAAGAAAAATAAAATTTTCTTATTAATCCCTCAGTTCCGGAGACGATAAATAGCTATTACTACGTGTCATAAAAAGCGTACTATAATAGATTACCTCTTCAAAAAGCAATTGACTTAGATATACAGCTGACGAATATCTGTGCTTGTTAACTTTTTCCAAGGCTCTGTTCTAAGCTTTTGAATGCAAAAATATTGGCCGGATATTTAGTAACATTTTGATATTATTATTATTCTGTCTGTTCCATTTCTAACTTACACACAAACTAAAATTATTTTGTATAAAAAATATATTTCTACATGCTTTATACTTAATAAGATTTACATTTATGGCAACAATTGCTTATGTAGGCCCACTCATTAATCCCTAATCCCTGCATGTTTTCCTACGAAAACGGTGGTTATAGGGTTTTATGGCTGGGGAATAAGGGCACGCGGTGGAATATACTTTATGCTAACTGCATTTTTATTTTACTGTATTTAGAAGTATTGTTGATTTATATCTGTAGATTAATTTTTATTTTACTGTATTTAGAAGTGTTGTTGATTTATATCTGTAGATTTGCCTAATCTGTATTATCATTTAGCTTATTGCGGAAAAACCCGATTATCAAATTGCAAGTTTCTTGAATTTCCCGA